CCCAAGAACCAGAACAGTCGTGCAGGAATGGTGAAGGAGGTCTTAGGGAGTTTGCAAGATGCATGCCTATAAGCCATTCTTGCCCTTACTTGTTGCCTCTGGTCATTTTCTGACTCCTTCCCACGGCATGTGTCAGCAGCAGCCCTGAGTTTGCACATGTGACTTATCAGTTGGTCCGTGTGTATCTCAGCGCTAGTATGGCAGGAATGGCCCTTCAGGGCGTTCTGTCACTCCAGGTATCAGTGGGCAGGAAGTGGTTGCCAGTAGTGAATCATAGCAAGAGATTAAAAATGGGATATTACACCTGCCGTAATGAACTTAGCTGGAATGTAAGCAGAAGGCGTCTGTGACATGCCTCTCCTCTCTTGGAGTTGACTCCTGGAATGCCATCTGGCAGGGAATTACAAAAAACATTGCTGCTCTCAGTGTTCTTTGCCAGTCTGTTCTGTATGCATCTGGGTGTGGCGTGTGTGGCTTGAGAGATGCGTCTGGTAGGGTGTTTGCCACAGAGTAATGGGGACTTGCCCAAACTAAGTAGCTGGCCGTGGCTCTGCCTGGAAACAACATCAGAGGTGCAGCTTGCACTCAAAACATGCACAGCTCTAGTGAGTGAACTGGATCACGGAGCCATATTGATCTAAAGTACAGCTCTTTTCTGCTCCCCTCCAGGGATTTGGGAACCAGGAGGATTCAGATCATGTTGCTGCGGTCTTTGCTTATGGTAAGTCTGATAATGGCTTCGCAGAGGAGTATGGGGTGTGTGTGTGTGTGTGTGTGTGTGAGAGAGAGAGAGAGAGAGAGAGAGAGAGAGAGAGAGAGATGTGTCTGTTTTCAGTGGGACACACGGTCTCTAGGCTTTTGTCATGGAGCAGGATGCATGGATAAGTTTAAATATTTCGGTTTCATTTCAGCTGTGGGTGAGAACACTTGTTTTTATTATTTATCTATTACCCGCCCTTCACCCAGAAGTCCCAGGGTGGGTAGCAGTACCGAAACACAACATTAAAAATGACTTAAAAATGAGGTGGCTCCTAAAAATGGCAGGTGGCGCTGTGGTCTAAACCACTGAGCCTCTTGGGCTTGCCGATCAGAAGGTCGGTGGTTCGAATCCCCACAACGGGGTGAGCTCTTGTTGCTCGGTCCCTGCTCCTGCCAACCTAGCAGTTCAAAAGCACGCCAAAAAGTGCAAGTAGATAAATAGGTACCGCTCCGGTGTGAAGGTAAACGCCGTTTCCGTGTGCTGCTCTGGTTTCGCCAGAAGCGGCTTAGTCATGCTGGCCACATGACCAGGAAAAACTCTGCGGACAAACGTCGGCTCCCTCGGCCTGTAAAGCAAGATGAGCGCCGCAACCCCAGAGTCTGTGACTGGACTGGACTGAACTGAACTGTCAGGGGTCCTTTACCTTTTTAGGTAAGAAGGAATCTCTCCCACCAACTAACCCACAGCTAAATTCACCCTCTTGTGGGGCATCTTGGGCCCACATGAGGAAGCATGTCCACATGGCCAGTCAGTCACCAGGTCATGCATGGCGTTGAACAGGTGGCGAGAAGCCACCTGCTAGTTGTCCTCCCATACTCTTCCGTAAAGGCAGCTCCCCTGTGGGCCTTTTGCTCTTGTTGGAGCCCAGATCCCATCAGCCCTGACCGTGGGCCACGCTAGATGGAGCTGTTGGGAATAGGAATCCAAGAACAGTTGCAAGAGTGTCACAGGTTAGCCATCTTCCCTGCTGTTGATTGACGGATTGATGGATTATATTTCTATGCCACTTTTCGTTCACGTGAATCACAAAGCAGCTCACAAGCAATAAATAACAATAACATAATAGAAAATCATATCAAATACAGTGGTACCTCGGGTTACATACGCTTCAGGTTACATTCGCTTCAGGTTACAGACTCTGCTAACCCAGAAATAGTGCTTCAGGTTAAGAACTTTGCTTCAGGATGAGAACAGAAATTGTGTTCCGGCAGCGCGGCAGCAGCAGGAAACCCCATTAGCTAAAGTAGTGCTTCAGGTTAAGAACAGTTTCAGGTTAAGTACGGACCTCCGGAATGAATTAAGTACTTAACCCGAGGTACCACTGTAATTAGCAAACAATCAGTAAAGCAATTGCAATCTATAAAACACTATTAACAAACAACAACAACAAAATCCAACAGCGTAATTGCAGCAAAAGTCATGCTATGTGTAAACAGCAAAATATGATCCAGCCTTAGGTATCTGGATTCACTGTGCAAACTGCTTAGGTATATATGAACTGCTGCTGCCATTCTGAATATTGTGGATGAGCAGGAACTGCGTCAGTAACACTTGCTGTGTCTTGAACCCCTTGACAGGTCACTTCGGGGTACAATGCCAAAAGCATCATGACTGTTCTCTCAGCCCCGTTCCTGGATCCCCTGCTGTCCTCTTCGCTCACGGAAGACAGCGAGCTCCGGCAGCTTGTTCTGGAAATACTACACAATCTTATTGACCGGCACGACAACAGAGCAAAGCTCAGAGGAATAAGGTAGGGCAAAAATGCCACTTTGCGTTAAACAGCCTCAGGAAAATGCGGTGATGATCGGCGCAGTTGCCTCAAAATTAACCTGTGAAATGGTTTTGCTGTATATAAACTAGGGCTGCAGTATTTAGACAAAAAGGTGCCTCTGAAATTGCAAATCCTACCTTGAGAGTTATTTCCCTGTTTGAATGTATCGTCAGAAGGCAAGTAATTGTCTTTAGAACTTGTTCCTTCTGATATGCACATGTGTTCAGATTTAATTAATTAATCAGCTGATGCTTACACAGTTAATCAGTTAAGAGTTCTTTTAATTAGGTGTTAGACCTAACAGGGGGTTCCCACTGCCTCACTTTCTCTTGTGCTCCTTCCAGAAAAAATATGGAGAGTCACAACAAGAGGGGCATTTCAGTAGTGCTTCCCCAGGGGAACTTGACAGGCATTTGCAATTAACATATTTTCATTTCCTTGCAAAGACTTTCGTTTTTGCTCAGGCTATTGAGCGTTGATACTTCGGCTCTTCTGCTGGAGCATTTTTCAGTTGGCTAACTTTATGGTGATTATGCTTATGATGATGTGATGTTTCTAACTTTTCCAGCAATTGTATGACTACTGTAATAAATTTTGATTGCCTCCCCAAGGGGCCCCCTCCTCAGAAGAAGGACCAGGGCCCTGGAAGGAGCGCAAATGAAGGCTCTGTACCGGTCGGGAAGAGACAGAGACCACACCAGGATTGGAAAAAGCAAAGCCTGATCTTTATTGAAAGAACAGGGGGAAAAAACAAACCAACAACACAAAAAACTGTTGCAACAGGGTCCCCGCTCACGCAATGACACGGAGTCAGAGACCCCGAACAAAGGGACTGCCTTGATTCTTATACCTTTTGATTTTCATTCAGATCAATAGCAAGGAGGTGGGGGGAAGCGATATGAGGGGTAAGCAGGATGTTGAAAGACTTTCTGGAGGTGTCAATTTGCTAAAGGGCTCAGGTGGTATGTGTCGATCTTCATGTTATTTAATTTTGGATCTGCTTCAAATGGCTTTTCCTTTATCTACAGGAAAACCTCCGCAACTGTTGATAATCAGCATGCAGGTGTGAGGCTGGATGTTTGAGAAGATGTTCAGGAAATGACTTAAATGTTAATGTGAAATCCTATTCTGCATTGCTATCAATTCGGGTGATAGCCTGATGTTTGCATACTTTTTGGAAAATAGGATTGCTTTATTTCGAGCTCATATCTGTGTGTATTCATGGTATGGTTTGCAGACCCAGTAGGAGGCAGTGTGGTGGATTGAGTTTTGGCAGCCTTTTGGATACAATATTGAGTCAAGTATATACATTTTGAAATATTTAGATTGTTACATTATTTAAAAACTACATTTTGGATACATTCAGAAAAGTACAGCAAACTACATTTTGGATACATTCAATACTTTTTAAAAGGATAGCTTCATGGAGAAAGAGGTACACAGGAATGGCAACAGGCACGTTATGTTAAGATGATGCATTAAAAAGCACACATTATATTACATTCAATGATACGTGAAGAGACACAGTAAGATGGCATCTTCCCAACAATGCGTTCTTTAAGGCACAGTTTATTATTATTGTGGGACTTTGGGTAGGATGATATCGTTAGGATCATTTTACCTTTATTCCCCTCTCTGACCCTGACTCTCTTATGACAATTCCCCTCTCTGAGGCTTAATTTTTTGGAAAAAAATTATTGCCTCACATCCATTGCTACATACTCTCCTTCTCCAAGGTGATACATGGGCAGGACCTCGGGAAGGGTGCGATCGGGTTGCAGTGGTGCAAGAATGGGAGTGTGGGGTAAGGGTGAACGGAAACTGGACATAAGGATAGGAATACATTGTCCGCAGCAGCACAGGATGCCAAGGAAGACAATCAGGGAAATGAATATAATCAGTATGCCTCTTGCTAATTCACGGAGCCAAGAGGTCTGAGGTAGCCATGACCAAGGATCCCAATCGGAAAGACCTTCATGGGGGATCTCTTTCAGAGTATCAGTTAGGGAATCTATGGAGTCAAGGTGTCCAGTGATATTGAGGGTCTGGTCTGACACAAAGGAACAGCATTCTGTCCCGATTAATTTACAAGCACCTCCTTGGGATGACAATAAATAGTCCAGACATAAACGGTTTTGAATGGACATTTTGCGCACTTCAGTGAGCTCGGTAAGGACAGAACGTGTAGTGGCTTCTGACTCTTTCATGAATTGCAACAGGACATCAGCAAGCCTAAGAATGTCTAGGTGATTTGAGAAGGTTCCATAAGCGGGGAGGAGGGCTCGGAGCCACGTTTCCCCATTTGGTTTTGGCTGTGGGCGTGTCGTGGGAATGGGGGATCGCCTGTTTCTCAAGCGGCCGCCAGGTAGAGCTAGGGTAACTCTGAACCCTGGGTGAATGTGGCCGAGGTAACAGGACCCCTGCATATGAATAGAGACCCACGTATAAGCTCTTTGCGCACAGATCCAAAATAGTCCTCCCAGCGGCTTTTCTATACGCCCAGTGCGGAAGGCAGTAATGAGGTCTGGCATAGGTTTTTCTCGAGTGAAGGGTGTCAGTACTGCAGTCAAAGCATCACTGAGAGATTTGAATGAGTGGGTGTGGGAGTGGTTACGAACCAGTATGGTGAGTCCCTCGGGGTCGGTTTTGATGGTAACATTACAGGCACTGGAGCCTACATGGTCTCCAGTTCCCGAGAACTCCTTGCACACTGGTCCAAAGGTTCGGCCACTCAGATAAATATATTGGGAGCTGGGTTTCAAGAAAGTTAGGTTGCGTTGAAGCAGATAACTAGATCTGTATTGATCTAGTGTAAGGGGTGTGCTTATGAAGGGTATCCCTTCATCAATGTGTGACGGGGCGTGTGCACAGATCCAGCACTGCGAAAGATTTGTGGTTTGTACTACCTTCTGTAAAAGTTGTACATAAGAGTTTGCTTGCCATGACGATAGTCTGCGGGCTGGGGGGGGAGGTGTTATTTCTGAGAGCTTAACATGTCTTGGGGCAGTTCCTATGGGTTGGACAGGGTCCTGGGACTTGAGGAGCATTGGGTCAGTTGCTATTCCCCCACATCGCTGCGGTCCCTCAGGATCCCATTCCAAGGTTTTCCCACCACCCACAGGATGCAACCACCCTTCAAGATACGCTTTTCCTACCCAGTCAGAAGTTGTGTGTAGGTCCCATATACAGCAGAATCTTCGGACGCAAATACCTTGGTAGGTGGAAGTAGCCATTTGATTGGTGCAATAAAATCCATAAGTCCAATGTTCGTAGTACATGGAATCTGTGTAGCTTTCCCAAAGTCCTTTGCCGATTTCAGAGGGTTGATAGTGTCTGCTGACTTTTCCCCATTCAGCTTGGATGTAAGTTCCATTGTGACAGGCCAAGCGGATCCATGGATCTTCAAGGGTGTATATGGCTCGTCCCAGGATGGCATAGGAGGCACTTCTGATGATAAGTTCCCAGGCTTGGGTGTTTCTGAGTCGTGGTCGGAAGGCGTGGGGAATCAGGTTCCTAGTGCCCGACAGGCAGAAGTCGAAATCTCCCAAGGCGTTGAAATCGTTGGTGTCAGTAAGGTCGCGATCAAGGTAGAAGTGTTCCACGGGGTTGTCTCCACACTGGGACCCTGGCGGTACACTGGTGGTGACTGGAAGGAGGGTACAGATGAGGTACAGGGACGTCAGGCAGGCGATTCTCCAGGAAGTCATAGTGGTGAACCTGTAAAAAGAAAAGAAGACAGACAACACACACAGACACACACAAGGAGGGGAGGGGTGACAAAAAGGGGGGAACAAGGGGGAGAAGAGAGATTATCCAGTGTTGGAGCTGGTTTTTTCTTCCTTCCGGAACTGCATTCTGATGGGGGGGTGGTCGGGGTCTTCTGGGCTAGGATCGACAAGTATCCTCGAGAGCCACTTTTCTTCAGAACTCTTCCCTGGTTCCTCTCCAGCTGCTAGGGGACTACGATTACCCCCGTTGTCATCAGTTGGGCAATCCTCATTGTCAGGCAGAGTCACGTCCGGCGGGGGGTCTGGGTCTGCGTCGGGGAAGCTTGGAGGATTGGACGTCTTGCAGAAGGTGTAATGGATCCAAGCACTCCTCTCTGATATTTTAATTGCGGTGGGTGTCGTGAGAAGGATCTGAAAGGGGCCTTCCCATGACGGCTCTAGAGTGTCCTTCCTAAATGATTTCACTAGGACCCAGTTCCCAGGTTGAAAGGGATGGGCATCCACATCCAGGGGAACATTTTGGTTTGCTGCAGCGTATTGGTGCAGCTTCTTAAGATGTCGCTGTAGTTGTATAACATAATTAGTCAGTTCGTTTTCTCCCACCTCAAGTTCAGACACAGGAAGCTGAGTGGTGTGGGTAGGGGATGGGCGCCCAAACAAGAGTTCATAAGGGGAAAGTTTTAAGGTTCCTCTCGGTTGACTCCTGATATTGTGTAATACAATAGGAAGGGCGTTGATCCACTTGAGACCAGTGGCTGCACATATTTTTCCTAACTGAGTTTTGATTAGTCCATTCATGCGTTCAGTTTGCCCTGACGATGAGGGATGATACGGGGTGTGCAGCTGCCATTTAATGCCGAACGCTTTTGCTACTGACTGCACTATTTCCGCAGTAAAATGAGAGCCCCGGTCACTGTCTAAACGTCTAGGTACCCCAAACCTGGGAATGATTTCTTGTACCAGAATACGGGCCACAGTTTGTGCAGTTGCACGCTTGACTGGATATGCTTCGGGCCAAAAGGACAACTGATCTGTTATGACAAGTATGAATTTATAGCCTAAGCATTTGGGAAGTTCTGCAAAGTCCAGTTGCAGGCTTTCAAAGGGAGGAAAGCCCATGGTCGAGATCCAGGGGGCTTTTTGGGTTCCCTCTTTGGGTTGTAGCTGGCACAGATAGTGCAGTTCTTTGAAACAGCCTTTGCATGTTGGTGAGCGCCTGGGGCGTACCAGTGTCTAAGGAGACTATCGGCC